TTATAACCAAAATACTTGATTGAGGAGCACAGCCGAATTCCTATTGTAAGCCAATAACATTAATGATATTCATAACAGATTTATTTGTTGATAAGGCTAACGGGCAGTCATACATTTCTACTGTAAAAATAATTCATGCAAAGTCGGTCTAGCCTACTATAGACATACAGTTGAACCTCTCCTGAAGACCACCCTCACAGGATCACAGGGAAACTGTGGCTTATCATAGGTGTTTGCTTTCATGAGTTAACGCATTTTTTTTAGCACAAAAGTTGTCGCTTTGTTTTTTTCTTCAGGACCTCGACGGGCCTCCGCCGGGCGGCTCCTTGGTTTTGTCCGCTGGGATGCGAGTTTCATATAGACACAACACAATCATTGGTTAGGGGAAGCCCATGCAAATGCGATGCAGTAAACCCCGGGGGTTCCTATCCTTAGTATAGTAATCAAAATGTTAATTTACCAAAGCCCACTGAAATTGAGGGATCCAACTGTATTTGTCCAAGAGTGATAATATAGCACGCTAAACACGCTCAATATATAGGCCTAGTAGGCCTATCTCAAAACTTCAAAAATGCACCCTGGTTACACACGGTAGTAAGTGAGGTTTATCGATTACTTTACTGCCTTATTACAATCCAATTATATTATGTGCGCTTATGCCTTTATTGCCTTCTTGACACTTCTGAAGTGGTCCAAGAGAAAACTTACTTTACGACATCTAACAATACGCTGTGTCATAATAGACTGTTAAACTGTGGTAAGAGTGTTACTAGTCTTTGATGTGCCGCCATAATGCTAAATTTTATACATGTTTTATGACTAAATTACTATATAATGCGAGCTACTTTGCTTAGAGTTTATGTGCCTCTTATAGAGTAGAGTGTGTTCAAAAGCATTTTGCTCCAAACAAAATTCATTGTAATGATTATAGACCTATTGTTTAAATTTTGAATGTCTCGCCTACCTAAGCGAAAGGAACAATGTATATTAAACCAAATTAGGACTCGTTATGTAACATATAGGCCTGTGTTTTGTGCATTTGAAGTAAACAACATTTTTTCATTTATTTAGCTCTATTCCGGTATATATATATATACACACACACACCCC